CTTAGGGGAAGCCAGACACATGCCTAGCAGGGGCCAGGGCCCTCGGGCAGAGGCAGGGCTCCCTCAGAGGCAATTCTGATAGGAGCTGCAAGACTTCCCAGTATGACTCCTCTGACTCCAAGTATGGGCTCTGGGGATGTGGCTTGCATTTGAGCCAGGGAGGTGCTGGGAGAGGTGAGTGGACCCTCCCCATACCACCCACCCTGCGGCCCTTGCCTGGGTGGTCCTGCCATATTTACCCAGTGCCTTCCAACCTGTGACAGGGCAGGGCAGGAGTGGGTAGGCAGGAGTGCTCCCTTTACTGAGTACCCCGGACCATTCCTCCTCACTTCCCCTCCCTCCTCTTCCCCTTCTCAGCCAGCAGGGCTGGTAGGTAGACACCTACCTACCTGTCCAACACTCCAGGCAGTGTTCCCTCTACAGGACTCCTTTCTTGATCCCAGTCCCCCCCAACTCTTGCCCTTTTAGGAACCGTTCTCCAGCTAGAGGTCATAAAGAGGGGCACAGAACATTTGCACGCACAGGCTTCTCACACTTGAAATGCTACCTTCCCAGACAGCATCTCTGACTACCTCATTTTAAGTTGCAACCATGTCTCCACCTCCTGTCACTCTTCACCCCCCCGTTACTTTAGATCTTTTTTAAGCACATGTCCCTAAGGGTGTACAGTGTATCCCTCGTGTTTATTTGTCTCCCTCCAGGCCCATGTGCTCCACGGATACAGGGATTTATATGCCTGCTTGGTTCTTGGTGCACTGCTGGGACCCCAATCCCTTAGAGGATGTTTGGGCATAACAAATGAGAGAACGAATGGGTGAATGGGTGCACAGATGTAGAACTGTGCTCCCCTCACCCACCCCAGGTCTCATGCTCCCGAAGAAGACCCCACTGACACAGACTCTCAGAGCTCAGCAGTGACTGGCCTTGCAAGGGCTCCTGTGTCCCCAACAAGTGAGAGTTTACAACTGTGTGTCCCTGCACGCTGGTTAGAGCCACCAAAGCCCAGAACCCTGACAATACTGAAGCACAGGAGGACTCTCACCAAGGCTGGGGGGGCACCGAGGGGCCAGCCACTTGAGACCTCCAGCAATATCTCACAAAGCCAAGCCAGCTCCCGCCAGCAAGGGTGAGTGGAGAACTTGGGTCCACGCAGCCCCTGCACAGTGCTTGCAGTGGCCATGCTCATGAGTGCCCAGTGCCTGGTCTTGTGAAGGACGTGAGCTGAGGACATGGAAATGGCCTCCTCCCCTCCCCCTCTTTCCCCAAGCCAAGCAGGAGATCAGAATCCCCTTTCCAAGATGGGTGGTAGAAACTAGAGCACCCCCCTCCATGAGCCAACCACAAACCCTCTAACTCCACCTTAAATGCCCCCACCCACCTTTCTGTACAGGAGCTGGTTGTAAGGAAACTAGGTCCTGAGACCCTCTTTCTAGAAAAGGTTCTGTGTGTCTGGAGGAAGGCAGGAGACACTCAGGGAAGAATCCCAGCAGACAGGTCGTGTTGGGTCCCCCAGTTCATTGTAATGAGGCGAGACCCTTTGTTCAGTCCCATGTCCACACAGCTGTCCATGGTCCAGGAAGCCGAGGAATGACAAAGGTCATTTTCCCTGGACCTTTGGCTTTTTGCATCTGAAGGTTACAGGTCAAATAAAACTTTGATTCAATAAATGCTTTTCTCAGTAGTGCATCTTTTACAGCCTGTGACCCTTCTAGTGTGAGGAGAGGGGTCACACGCCTTTCCTTTTGGCCCTTACATGTCAAATCTTGGAAACCACAAAGAGGTCCTTCAGCAGACAAATGGGTAAACCGAGGCACGCCTACACAGTGACTATTATTCAGCCCTCAAAGGAAGTGCACTGTGAGCATGAAAAGACAGGCAGGAAGCCTAACTCGACATTGCCGGCAATCCAAGGTCAGGGCCTTCTGCAAAAGGTGAGGTGCTGTGGGGACCTTGAGAAGATTAAAGGCCACCAGGGACTGGAGAGGGAGGGAGGAAATGGTGGGTTAGGGCAGTAAAATTGTCCTGTATGACAGGACAATGGTGTAGGGGACATGTGTGACAGTGAGGCCTGTTGCAAACCGGGCACTTACAGTTAACAGTAACATTTCAGTATTGTTTGACACGTCGTCGTTAACAAATGGAAACATAGTAACAAAGGACTTGGAGCGTGATCTATGGGAACTACTTTCTGCACAATTCTTCCACCAACCTACAACTGTCTAATAAATAAAGCCTATTTTTTTAAAAGAAAAAAAATTAGTCGTTGAGCCCAACCTCATATTTAAATCGGCATAGTGTATTTTATCTGGCAAACTTATCCCCTAGCCCCAGAAGAGGGGCAAGCAAAGAATAAGGGAAGGAGGGAGAGAGGGTCCTGCTGGCTCCAGCTATGTCAAAGCTGTCATACACTGCAGAAAGGCCCAGCTCCATGCTCAACAATTCCAACCTTGTGAATGGTTGATGGGTGGGTAGATAATAGAAGTAGGGGCTGAGCATTGAGGAGAATCAATCCACTGATGCATCATCCCCAAAGCCCACCACTGCATCCAACGTCCCTTCTCTCCTAGCAGCAAGAACAACTCTTTTTTCTTTCTGTCTTTCTTTTTTTTCTTTTGTGGGACTGGGGTTTGAACTCAGGGTTTCTCACTTGCAAAGCAGGCACTCTACTTCTTGAGTTACACCTCCAGTCCATTTTTGCTCTGGTTATTTTGGAGGTGGGATCTGGAGAACTATTTGCCCAGGCTGGCCTTGAACTACGATCCTCCTGATCTCAGCCGCCCAAGCAGCTAGGATTACAGATGTTAGAAATATCTTTAAAATACTGAGGTGTCATGAAAGAGATGACACTACTCAGAAGTCAGTAGGCAAGGCAAAATTTACTTCTGCAGAAGGATGCACACCAGAAGGGAAGTCTGCAGGGGTTTTATCTGAGGACATGCTGTCCCTCTCCTGCCCCTGGATTGGGCAGGTTTGGGGCTCACAGTCTATGCAGTTGGCTAATTAGAAAGGGGCCAGGTTAGGAGGGGGCTTTGGGAACAAAGAGGTTTAAAAGTTCAGGGAAGCAATAACTGGTTTTGGTTATCAGCTCGGGAACCAGGGCATCCAGAGAAATTCTTGCCCTGGCCCAGCTGAGGATAACAACCCTTTGTTCTTAGTAGAAACTTTTATCATATTAAGCTGAGTCCATGAAGCGAGTGTATGGGAAGCCAGTTAGTGAGAGTAACATTTGTAACAGCGGTGGTTACTGATTAAATCCTTTGACATTTAGGTTGGGAAAAGACCCCACCTAAGCTGATTCTCACACAAGCACGAGCTGTTGGCGCCTGCTTTCAGCAAGGATAACTTTGAACCCAACTTCCGACGGGCTCACAGGACATTGCACCAACAGCACTTTATAAGGAGAAAATGAAAGTCCTGGACCCCATTCCCTCTCCCCTCCCTTCTCCCTGTCTGAATGAACCTGTTCCTGGGTTAGGCCAAGGCCACCTGCTGCTGGGCAAAGGCCTGTCCAGCAATCAGTCTCCTGAGCTCTGGCATCCTGGCAGCCTACAACTCAGGGCCCACACCCAGCATGAAGCGCCCCCTTCCCTCTTCCTCCTTCCAGAGATGCTCCCCCCACCCCACCGTCATAGCTAGCTCCTCTCCACGCCTCACCTTCAGCCCTTCATCCTAAATAAACCCACCAAGCACTGCACTATGTTGGAGAGGGGGGGTGTGGGGTTCCAGCCCTCTAGCCCTCTCCCTCCAGGGGTTAGCTCTAGCTCTCCAGCTCTGGTAGCAAGGGTCCTTCCTTGTCTCCTGGGGTTCACTGTGGCCCCTGCAGTTGGCACGACATCTCCACTCCACCCATGGCCCCTGTCTCTGCATGATACCTGAGGTGCTGTGGTGTGCAGATAGGAACAAAGCTGCCCAAGAGTGTGGGAGACTTGTAGCTAGAGGGACTGAGAGATGGCATGAAGCCAGCACAGAGGAAAACCCAGGGAAGGTGGGCTTGGGACAGGCCTATAGCCTATAGCCTCTTCTCCCCCAGGGACTATTGGCCAGCAGCGCAAACTCAGGGACAGGATTTGGGGGCAAGAGGGGTCCCCTGAGTGAAGGTTGTGCTGTGGCAGAGGCTGGAAGGGCCCTTGGTCTGGAGGGTGGAGTGGGGTTGGTGGACAGAAAGGTCTGGAGAGGACAGGGGCAATGGCTGGTGGTGGTGATGATGGGGAGTGTGCTGGGCAGCAGAGCTGCTCTGGGCTGGGGAAGGGAATCTGGGGAAGGCGCCCTGGGAGTCAGACTTGGAGTGGGGGGGAGAGCAATCCTGGCCAGTTGACCAGTTGGAGAGGCCTCAGAACCCAAACCCTAGAACCAGTCCACCCCACCACTTCCCTACCCCCATTGCCCAGTGACTGGCACACAGGCCAGACTTACTGAGAAGGAGGAAGGGCCAGGGCATGGGGAAGTCGTGGGGGGGCGGGCAGGGCAGGAAAGACTGGTGATGTGCTGGTGGGGGAGGGAGAGAGCTGGACTTAGAGGAAAAGTGCAGATGACAAAGGGGGACCTGTCCAGGGACCTGAAGGACTGTAGAAGGCTGCGGGGGTGTGCGCGGGAATTTGAGGTGGGGAGTGCAGTGCAGGGAACGCCGGGCCGTCCTGTGTGGCCTGGCGGGGACAGGAGTGCGGGTTGCGTAGGAGGGTGCAGGGCAGAGCCGAGCCGAGCTGGGTGGTGCGGGCTGATGCCTCGCAGGAGCGGTGGGCGTGGTGCTGCCTTCGGGGCTGCGCGCCCCGCGCGGTGCACGGGCTGGGGGGGGGGCGGGGGGCGGGGCCCGCGGCCTCGCGGACCCGGGCGGGTGTGCGGGGCGTTGCGGGGCGCTGCGGGGCGCTGCGGAGGGCGGCGCGACCTCCGGAAGCGAGGGGGCGCTGTGCCAGCGCGGGCGCCGTGCGGGGCGGGCGCCGCTCCTTCCTGCTGGCCGAGGCGCGGCCGCCATGGCGCGGAACGTGCTGTGAGTAGTGTCGCCGCCGAGCCCGAGCCGGGTGTGGGGACGACGCCCCGGGACGGGGAGCCAGGGCGGGGCGGGGCGCGGCAGGTCTCCCGGCAGGTGTCCCCGCCCGCGCGGTCCCCATCGGGGCGCCGTCATACCTCGGCTGTCGTAGCTCGGGGTTCAGGCCCGCCAGCAGGACCCCGTCCCCGCCCAGACCTGGGGTCCCCTAAGCTGGACCAGGCGGGACCGGACCCCCAAGTGTTAGTGGAGGCCCAAGACCCTCCGGCCCTCTGCTTCTGGCGGATCCCCACGTGGTCCCCTTGCTGGCCTGTGCTCCGCGGTCTTAAGCAGGAAACACGTGCTCAGTGAACACGTGACTCGGTGAATGCCTGGATGGATGTGGGCCCCAGGTTGGCTTTGGGAGCAATTTAGTGAGCGCTTTGGGACACCCGGTGGAGGCCGGATGTGGGGGCCCCTGCGCGCAGAGCAGGGGAGAGGGCAGCAGGGGGGCCTTGAGAACGCCGTGTGGCTTTCTTCTGCAGATGGCGGCACGGGCTGACCAGACCTGGGCCCCTGTCTTGACAGCCCAGGCTGTGCGCCTAGGCGGGAGGAGAGGCCCAGGCAAGGCTGGGTCAGTTCACGTCTTAACCCCAGGCCCTGGCTTGGAGGGGTGGGGGCCAGGGTGGGATGGGGTAAGTCACCTGCAGGCCACTAGAGACAGGGCTGGTGAAGGGAGCCAGGTCATAGGTGGCCAGGAGTAAGGAGAGGTGAACTCCACTGAGATCGGCTAAGTTTTGAGTTGCCTGTGAAATGTGGGGAGCTGTCTTAAGGCTCATTGAGCTAGGGGTTAGGGTACCCCTCAGAGGGGTCAGGCCTCCAATGGCCTGGGACTTGTCCAGGGTAGAGAGGCTGAGAGAGTGTGTCCTGGGACCAGGAGTGGGGCTGTGGGCAGTGGGCTCCAGAGCTGAGGGCCCAGGCTGCATACAAGACTTGGGGTTGGGCCTGGGAGGTCAGCCTGGAGAAGTTACACTGGGAGAACACGGACCGCGAGCTGTCCAGACTGAACCTCTGTGACTCAGGACCTGTTGTCTCAGGCCGCACACCAGTTCCTTCTCATCACATGACCTCTGTTCCCAAGCCCCAGCAGCACCCACTTTTCCACCATTAAGGAGCCAACCCCTAAACTTTATCTGCCCTCATGCAGTGCCTTCGTTGGACACTAGGGGGAATACGTGGGCCCCCTTGGATACCACAGATCCACAGAGAGACCTGTGGGTAAATTGAGGCAGGCCTCTTGTTCCATTGGAACTTCCCCCCTTCAGAGGCCAATCTTCTTCTGGGATCTCTCTTGGTAGTCCATCTTGCTGCCTGTTCCCTTAGACATGGAGGCCAGCGCCCTGCCCAGAAGGCTGTGCCTGAGCTCCACCAGCTTGGTGGTAGCAGGAACTCAGCAGCTGGCTATTCTGTGTGGTTGCTGGGCAGACACCCTTAGCCATTGAGCTGCATGTTGGCTGCGAGGTTCCCACCAGGCTGGCCAGCAGCCTAGGCACATGCCTACACCCTAGGCACATGCTTCTCAGCCCCAGGCTCCCGGATGTGCAGTGCCTCAGATTGCTCACAGGGCTATGAGTGAGAACTGGGCAGCACCCTGTGCTCCCCCCCCTCCCAACAGACCCTGCACTCCATAGACTCCACACACCCATAGACCTTTTGCTTCTCCCAGGCCCTGGAGCTGGGGCTCTGCTTCTGCGTATCCACCCAGCTGGGCTTGGGGAGATGTGCAGGACCACTGGGGTGAACATTCTGTTTGACTGTTACCTTGAGTGCAGGCCTGATGATGGTGGGAGAAGGTGATGAACCCCTCAACTACTCTGATCATTTTTGGGGTCTGGAGTAGAATAGCACCATGTGTTGAAAACGCTGTCTGCAGCAGCCCCAGCCTGTGAGCCTGCTTTCTCCTTGGGAAGCCAGGCCCCTCTATGCCTGGGGAAACTGAGGGACTCTTCTGCCCCTGCCGTAGTGCTTCTGGCCTCCCTCACCCCATCCACCAGGGGTTGACTGACCTTGGGTCTGCTGTCAGGAGGTGGGGTAGGAGGGTGGGATTTGGTGCCTCCAGGTTAAATCCCATCACCAGCCTGTTTGTGGAGGGTGGTCCACCAGTTTCTCCTTCCTTTCATCCCTCTCTCCCTCCCTTCCTTCCTTCCTTCCCTCCCGGGCTGGAACCCAGGATCTCATGCATGCTAAGCAAGTGCTCTACCTCTGAGCCACACCTCAAGCCCTAAATATCGGCTTCTGTTTCTCTAGCTGTTCTTTGGCCCTTTCTGCCAGTTGTCTGTAGGATTGGTCCCTGCTTCCCAAGGTGATGCTGGGCAGACCATGAAGTAGGAACAGGCACGAGCCCTCTGTGCCCTGTCCTCTGCCTGCTCTGGTCCTGCAGAAGTGAGGGGATACATAGGCCTGTCTGGTGGCCTCAGGGCCCTGTTGAGTATGTGACATGGACTCTAATCTCTCCTGAGCAGGTATCCCTTGTACCAGCTGGGCGGCCCCCAGCTCCGTGTGTTCCGAACTAACTTCTTCATTCAGCTGGTACGGCCTGGCACAGCCCAGCCTGAGGACACTGTGCAGTTCCGGATCCCTATGGAGTAAGTCCCAGAGGAAATCGGGCAGGGGAGCGTCCATGGGGTTGTGGGGCCTGTCCTGTTTCCTAGCTCAGTTCACAGGGTCAGGTTCTTCCTGCTGTGGAAAGACCTGGGGCGGCTCTGCTGGCTCAGCAGATCACAAAGAGGCCTGGTGTTTGCAGAGCCTCAGGGAGCGTGCTCTTGGCGTGCTTCCTGGCTCGCCCTCCACCTGGGGAAGACTTAACTGAAAGCCCGAGATTTGGACTCACTTCCTTGTTGAATTCTTGCCTCGATCCTCTTCCCAGGAAAAGCATCCCAGGAGGCTGGGCTGTGAGCATGCTGAGATTTGCTGAGCTCTGACTTAGCTTCCAGAATATTAGTCCTGAGTTCCCTGCCGTGCTCAGCCAGACCTGATGTGCCACTTTGCCTTGAGGCAGATACACAGTCCTTAACCAGACCCGTGGGGTGCTGCTCTGAGTCTTAGGTCTGAGGGATTAGTTTAGGGTTGGGTCACGTGGGCAGGGGCCGCAGCAGCGTGAGTTTCTGTAGAAGCCCAGTGTGCGTTCTGTCCAGCCTCACAGATTGGGGCAAGGGAGATCTTGAAGCCGAGTGTATGGTAGTCTCTAAGGTTCTCCTGAAGTGTGGACTTCACCCCCAAGGCCCAGGCAGCCGTTTGTAGGAAGCACCCAATAGGTGGCTGTGGGTGCTGTGATGGCAGGCCAGAGCCCTGCAGCGGGTGCACTCAGCCCAGCAGTGAGCTGCGCGTCCCGATTCAAGCTTCCCGGGCCCTGGAGCAAGGACCAGGCGCAGGGGGATGAGTGGACAAAGTGCTAGAGTGATACTCCCAGACCCTCTGCATGTTTGCACCCCAGTCCAGTGTCTAGAGGGAGGACAGCACTAGGGCCAGCAGCCGGCACTGGTGGTGGTTCCGTCTGCCTGGCCCATCTTGACATCAGCCTGATGTTGCTGCTGAGGCCCTGGCTCCCAGATCACTCACCCTAAGGTTTTGGTATTGTACCTTAGTCCAGCTCAGACTTCCTCCTCTTTCTGCCTCACCCAGGATGACCAGAGTGGACCTCAGGAATTACCTTGAACGTATTTACAATGTGCCTGTGGCTGCCGTAAGGACGCGGGTGCAGCACGGTGAGTGGCTGTCCTGGGCTGGGTTGCTGCCTTCCTGTCTGTGTGGATTCTAGGTTGCTTATACAGTGCCAGCCTGCTGGGCGCTCCCCTGGCACCGCTGTGACCTCACAATTGCTCGATGATACCTCCTCATTCGGCATGGGAGGAAACTGAGGAACAAGGGGGGGCTGGGGTGACTTGCCAGAGTCACACAGGACTGAGTCAGGTGGTAGAGCCGACATCGTGGTCCACCCTGGTGATGCCCACAGCCTGCCTCGGTGCAGATCCCCAAGGAAGGTTCCACTGTCGTCAGCTGAGGCCCAGTTAGGCTCTGTGTTTCCTTGAACCTCCTTGATCTTGGTTGGTGCCTGCAATGTGCCCCTGTCCCTTTCCACCTGTCTGACCTCAGTCACAGGTGGCAGAGCCTGTGTCATCTGGGTTTCAGTGCCCTCTGACAAATGCCCTTACTCGACATTTGGATTTCAACCAAGAGCAAAGAAATTCCTTTATTCTTTCAAAGACTTTTTTGTTATTTTTATTTTCATAGGTTGTCTTTACTTAAACTGAGAGACTGGTTTTAGGGTGTCTGGGGGGGCCTGAGGGCTGCTGCTGGTGCTCAGCCTGCTGGGATTGGGGGTCCTGGCTGAGCCCCCCATCTGCTTCTCTGGAAGGTGGTTTCTGCACGTTGGCACTGGGCTTGTGCTGTGAACTGAAGTCAAGGTCTGCTTTGCTTCCCTCCACAGGCTCCAACAGAAAAAGGGACCACAGGAACGTGAGGGTCAAGAAGCCAGACTACAAGGTGGCCTACGTGCAGCTGGTGAGTGAGGGCAGCACAGCCCAGACCAATCTGGGACTCTGCTCACTGTCACAGCTGTGTCCTTGGGGCTGTTTGTGCAGCCGTGGTGCTCAGGGGCCCAGACCTTGGGAAGCAGGGGTGGGGGTGGAGCTCCGGGTCCTAGTGCACCTCTGTAAAGTCAGCCAGCACCTGGAGGGTACATTTTGACCTATTAAGGCATACCTACCCCAGGCCTAGCAGTTTAGGCTCCAACAGAAAACCAAGTTGTGTGAGCATGGGAGGCTGGTGGCCCCTTGAGGGCTGCCCTTGAGTGGACTCCAGGACAGGAGGCAAAGCTGGATTCCCCTGGGGACTACTCTGCAGTCAAGGGGGCCTTGGGTCCATCCACCCCTCAAGGCCCTCTGTGAGCACAGGCTTTGTAGTGTGACCAGGGAGGCCCCCACCACCTCAGCTTGACTCACTGAGGCCCAGACTTGCTGGGGAGACCCCCATTTTCAGACAGTCTTCCTTTCCTCCCTCCTGAAGTGTCCTAAGACAGGACTTCAAGCCATTGCTGGGGCGGGGCAGCCGTCAGTCTCCAGGCAGAATCCCCTCTGACCTCTGCGGCCTCAGACCGCGTGGCCTCAGTGGGAATCTTGCAGGGAAGGCTCCGCCAGCAGGGTCCATTAACTAGCCCCCCACTGCTTGAAACCAGCAGGGGGGCTTCCTCCAATTTCTTCAGTTTCAGTACAAGCAGCAGGCAGTGAGGTGGAGCGTGCAGCCCCAGGGTCGCTAGGTGGCGGCAGTAGCACTACTGTCATCCTCCTCCCTCCCTGGCCTTGCTGCCTGGGAGCTGTTTGCTCGAATACTGAGCTGGGGGGGCAACTTTGCTGAAAAACAGTCACAGTTGTTTTCTAAACAGGGGCCCCATAATCATTTGGCCTAATATTTGTTTTGCATCAAATCAGCCATTGCAGGTGGAGTGGCAGCCCTGGCCTTATAAAGGCCTGTGTGTGCCGGGCATTGAATTGGTCCATCTGTCCCTGTCATGGCCTGCGGGGGGACATCCCATATGCCGGCATTCGCCACGAGTCACTTTAGAGACAGCTATGGTTACAAGTGGCTTTTGAGTCATCCGAGCCCCTACATTTTTCCCTGGCCCCACCTCACTCATGAAAGCTGAACTTGGCTTAGATCTGGTGTCTGCAGCTGCTGCCCGGCAGTCTTTCTTCCTCTGTGAAATCCAGGCGGCCAGAGACAGGCCGGCAACTGGGGGCCCAGCGTGTCCCAGAATTAAAATTTGTAACGCCGCACTAGCCCCCCACCCCCCACTGCAGCCTCCAGCACCAGCAGGTCTTTGCACAGCCTTGAAACTGGCTGGCGGTTGGTCCCTGTCCCCCCACAGGGGCTCGGGGACTCTCAGGCCCCTTCCCTGTCTGCATCTGCCGAGACCATCCCCGAGTGTGCCCCTTCGGGCCCTCCTGGGGGGACCTTCTAATAACAGCTCATTGTGAGGCACATGAAGGGTCAACCAGAGAGACAAGTTAAATGGTGGAATTTATGGCGGGCTGGCGGCTGTGGAAAGGCGCGGTCCCACATGGTGGGCGTCCCACATTTTTCCTCTGACAACCTGATAAACATCTCTTTGGCCCCAAGTCCAGGAGGGAGCCGTAGCAAGCCCTCAGTTACCCACATAACAAAAAGAGCATTGACCGTGTTTACACAGAGCAGCGTTTGAGTGAGCAGCGCACACGGGCCGTGAGCCGCCAGGCTGCAGAACAAGCGCCCCAGGCGAGGCGGGCGAGGGGCAGGCACGTTCCCGTCCAGACAATGGCCCGGGAGGCTCTGGGATTACTGAAGTCAGAGCTGGCTTTTCCACTTTTCATTGTGACCTTTCTGTCCTCTCCTGTTCTGTGCCCCACCAGCTCTCCCTCCTTGGGAGGGTGGCGGGTTTCATTTTCCAAAGTTCAGGGGGAATTTCTCTTAGAGAGGGGAGTCTCCAGGGCCTCCCCCAAATGGAATGGCTTGTGCTCCCCTCACTGGCTGCCTCTGCTTTTCCCCAAGCCACCATGCGTGCGTGGCCATTTTTGTGTCTGTATATGAAATGTCACTTCAAGCTCCTGCGGCTTCAAAACCCAGCTGAACCGACTCGAGATGGTCAACAGAAATCCCACGCTCTGGGCAGTCAACTCTGCCTATAAACCACTGCCCTTTGGTATTTTAAGAAAGGAAAAAGGAAGTCCTGAAATGTGTAGAATAATCTGCATGCTGACTACCAGCACTGCAACTTGCTGCCTTCCATCCGGCCCCTGCACCCTGTGCCTGGGATCAGAACTTACAAACCTCCCAGTCTCAGGGTGGGCCCTGTGGCTGTTTGAGATGCTTGGCTGCCTGCCCAAGTTCAAATTTCCTTTACAAAGCAAGCGGTTAGGAGAGACTGCACCTCACTGGCTTGACTTGTTAAGGTGTTCCAGGTTCAGTGCTTCTCTACCTGTCAGGAGGGCTGGGCGGTGTGGTTCTCTGGCCTATAACCTTTGAACTGCTTAGCAATAACAGCGAATTAACCAGCCCCTGTATTTGTGTCTGCCTTGGGCCTCGGAGCGGGCTGCCTTCCCCCTCCCAGCGCCCACACTGGTGCTGGCCCACGTGCTTGGGGCCGGGCTGGGACGTGGCCGGGCTCACACACTCTGAACTTCTAGCGAAAGACGTAAAAGCAGTTAATTTGCAAAGCCGGTCTTGATTTATAGAGTGCTGCGTATGTAGGTTTCTGTGTACGTTATATGCGTTTTATTTGCCAAGCTCCAAGCCTGGAGGAGGGCAGGCTTTAATGTGGCTGAAGGCCTTTAGGTATTTTGGATGGAAAAAGTTTTAGCATGGCACCAGACGTCATTTGCGTCCTGTTTTTCTGCGCCTAGTTCCTGCCCCCAGTTCCACCGGCTGCCGCCTGGTGAATGGACCTTTGCTGGGCTGCTTTTAATGAGCCCCGGGCTGGTGCAGACCGCTGTACAGAGATAATATGGATGAAAAGGAGCATTGTCTCGGGGTGATGGCTTCCTGCTGCTAGATAAAAGTGGGAGGCCAGGCAGCCTGTGAGATGTTTGTTTTCCAGGCAGGGACCCTGTTCAGAGACACTGGTGGCTCATCAGCCTGTATCATGGGTCAGGGTCCAGGGTCCAGCGTCCAGGGCTGCAGCTCCCTGAGCAATTGAATCAGGCAAGGAGGGGAGGAGAGCAGGACGGTAGGAGAGTGCTGCCTCCAAGCCAGTGAGCAAGTGCTGGACTGGAGTCCCCGTTCTCTCCCCAGGCCCACGGGCAGACCTTCACATTCCCAGATCTGTTTCCTGAGAGAGAGCAGAGCCCAGTGGGCCCTGCAGAGGACGGACAGAGCAAGATCCAGGAGGCTGAGATGCAGAGGCAGAGCACCGACCCCCGGCGTGGTGGCGTTCCCTCTTGGTTCAGCCTGTGACCCATCAGGGTTGGACTCAGAGCCCAAATAAAAGTCTTGCTGCGTGGAGAAAGAACTGGACTCTTGGTTTCCTTCTGTCCTGGGGTCTCCGGGTCTCAGACCTGGGCGCCTGCAGTGACAGCCTAGCTGTGCTATGCAAGGCCCTCACCACGGATGATGCGGGAGGCTCCTCTGGGAACCAAGGGCTTGGGAACCTGAAAACTGGGTTGGCACCCCCACAGGAGATAGGCAGCCTCACCTCATGCAGTGTGGGGGCTTTTCTTTAGAGGGGAGAGGGACACCACTGCAAAGCATCTGGAATGCCATGTGAGTGCCCACACCTGAAGCACTGCCCTGGGGCACAGCCATCATCAAGGGGGACCAGGGAGGGAGCCCCCTGTCCAGACAGGCTTTAGTTTGCACATTGACAAGAGGGACTGGATGGCCATGTCTAGCAGGGGACCCTGAGGGAAGAAAGGCTGTTGACCCAGAGAAGCTTTGGAGCTAGGCTGGGACCTGGAGATAGGGAAGCAAGTCTGTAGGCGCCAGGGCACAAGGTGCCGTAGCACTGCCTCAAAACTGCGGCTTCGTGGGTCTCAGACCTGTGAGGATGCACGAGCTGGGAGAGGAAAGGTTGGTGTGAGCGTCCTGGTGGTGCAGCCGCTGGCCCCTGTGATCCCAGGACTTGGTTTTCAGCCTTGTGTTGTCTGCTAGGGAAGTCAGGGTGCACAGCCTGCAGCCTTGCACTGGCTCTGGGCCCTGACTCACTCAGCAGGAGCAGGTCAGGGTCCCACAGTGTCCTGTTGCTAGGCTTACCCATTGAAGGCTGGACCCTAACCTCATTCCTATGAGGCCAGACTGGCCGGCACAACAGCCTTCAGACCACTGAACTGGAGTGGGACCTGGCTTTTGTATCTTACTTTGCACTTTCCCAGTGAGCTGAGAGGGTTTCCAGACTCCAGCCCAATGTCTGATGGGCCTTGTTTCCAGAAAAAGGCATTGTCCAGACAGACCCTGGGGCTGTTCCCGATGCCCTTTCCTCGGCCTTGGCCCTATAAGGGGCCCCGCGGGCAGCCTCACAGCAGGTCCCAGAGGCTCTTGGACTCTTCTGTTATTTTTTTACCTTTTGTTGGTTTTAGTACTTCTCCCAGAAAACACAGAGGCTCAGAGAGGACCATGTCTCCATGTGTGGACTTTCGAAGTTTAAAGTCCACTGAAGACGGGGTCTCCAGTGCTTTGGAAATGGGAGCGGTCGATGTCCAGTTATCCTCCCATCCCTGTCCTGACCTCACTGTAGCAGACTTTTAGTGTGGGTGGAGAGCCCCTGTGTGCACAGAGCCTCCACATACACCATGGCTGTGAGACTCGTGCCAATGCCTGGGTACTCACTGTTTCAGAGGGAGAAATGGCCTGGCCACCACAGCCAGGACCGGGAGGCAGGGACAGGACAGCACCCAGCTTGGGCCCAACAGGTAGGGCTGCCTGCCTCCCCAGTGGGCATCTTGTCTACCTCTGAGTGGACCCCAGGTGGAGGCCCCAGCCCTATCCTCTGTGCACAGGAGCCACCTTGGCACCCTGCCACCGTAAGAGCATGTATTTGGTGCTAAAATGGCCAGCTCAGTCTGCAGAGCAGAAATGGACCCCAAATATGTGCGGGGTGGAGGCCTGCCAGAGGCTACCACACCTGAGTTTCAGTTCAGTGGTTTGCCACTGGCCTGCATGAGGAAGTGGTGCAAGGGCTCCAGGTAGAGGCTGAGCTCAGGAGGTCATGGATTGACACCTGGAGGAAGGAGGTAGACAGACAGTAGGGGCGGGAGCAGCCAGGCCACTGTGGCCAGGAACTGTGGTTGATGAGGTCCAGTGTGTAACAGGATAGCCAAGAACTGAGGGAGAAGGGGTCAAGCAGGAGGAGACCTGGGGGACTAGGAGGGAGATGGAGATGGGGATGTCCTGAGACCAGTGCACAGAGGCAGCTCCAATCAGCATTTCATGCTCCCATGAACACATACACGAGTGTCTGCATTTGTGTGTGTTTGAGTTTGTGTCTGTGTGTCTGTATCTGCGTGTCCTGAGTTGAGTATATATGTGTGTTTGTCAGTGTTTGAGTGTCTGTGTGTTTGGGTACATGTACCTGAGTGGGTATCTATATTTAGGTATGAGTGTGTATCTGCATCAATTGCCTGCATTTGAGAATGTTTCTGTGAGTGTGTGTATTATCTGTGTGTGTTAGAGTGTGTCTGTATGTGCAAGTAGGTGTGAATGTGTGTCTAAACATGTCACTGTCTCATGTCTGTGTGTCTGTACTTGATTATATATCAGTTGTGCCCAGGTATGTGTGATGTGAAGTGTGTGTGTGAGTGTCTCTGTGTGTATCTGTGTATATCTGTGGGTGTGTGAGTACCTTTGTGTGTCTGTGTGTGTGTGTTCTGTGTCTCAATGTGTCTGAGTGTATGACTGTCTCTGTGAGTATACATCTGTGTGTTTCAGTGGGTCTCTGTGTGTGTGTCTGAATATAGCTGTGTCTATGATTGTCTCTGTGTGTCTCAGTATGTCTGTAAGTGTATGTCTGTGTGTCTCAGTGTGGCTGTGAGTGTGTGTGTCTGTGTGTCTCAGTGTATGAGTGTGTGTCTCAGTGTGATTGTGATTTTGTGCGTCTGTATGTGTCTCAGTGTAGCTATGAGTGTCAGAGTGTCTAGGGCTGTAGGTTTGATGCTGAGGGGAGAGATTGGCCTAGAGATTTGGGGAGCAAATGGGTGTGCTGTAGAGAATCCAGCCACACTGCCACACGCTCACATGGCACCTGGCAGCTCCCAGGTGCCAGGAAACGGAGTCAACTGTTTTCCTTGGAGAAGTAATTTGTGGGGTCTTGGCACCTGAGGACCCTCATTTGGGTGAGGGAAGAGGAATCCATCCTTCGTGGCTATCATGCATGTTTGCAGCCCCCACAGGGACATCAGACAGAGCTTGGGGGCCAAGGTCACCCTCCATCATGGCCTGCTGACTGCCCCTCCCCCCTCCCCCCCATCAGCCCTGTTCCTCTTCCAGCCTCACCCCAGATGCAGGCATCCCCCACAGGCTCCGGTTGCTACCCTGCCCTTCCAGTTGCAGAGCCCATCCCCCAGGCTCCCTGGGCAGAACAACCCAGGGGAGCAGTGGGCAGCCTCTGGCTTAGAGCTACTGTATGAGACAGCTTGCAGCTGACGTCATGGGTAGCTTTGTTATTGGGATGTTCCCGTGGGCAGGTGAGGGTGAATGCTGGGTCAGGGACACCTGTCCCCAGTCTGCAGGGCTCTTTTGCCTCCTCTGCCCTATGCATAGGCCTGCTGTTCCCAGAAAGGGGTGGGTAAGGGCAGAACATTGAGGGGAGGTCCTTCTGTGCCTCTCCAAGTGTACATCCCAGGCCTCATATGAGATGCCTGTGGTGGGGGAGACCAGAAGGCAGGGGTGAGTGGGTTGGGTGTTTATGTGAAGGAAGGAGAGGTGGTGGCTGGCTGTGCTCAGCCCTCTGAGGAGGGGAGGGAGTTCACATGACTCTCCTCCCTGGTCACTTGAGGGGTTCCTAAGTCCCCACATCTCTCTCCTGTGTCCAGGAGGCTCAGAGCCTTTGAGGCCGTGATGGAGCAGAGCTGGCAGGAAAGCACAGTGCCTTCTATGAGGGGAAGAGGAGGGGCCCGCGGGTGCTGACTGGGAGTCAGGCTCTAGCTGGGGCCTCTTCCTCCACACTCTTAGGCACACTCTGAAATCTGAGAGGGGCCAGCTGGATGCCCCCTTCCCCTGCTCCCAGAACCCATTCCCTGCCTTGGGACCTGAGAGATAAAGGACCAGTGTCTCTGCCCCCCCCATAAGGGCCCCATAGACTGACTTCCTTGTGACTCAGTTTCTCCCTCTCTTGTACAGCAGGGAGATAGTGACTCAGCCTTTGGTCCCAGCAGGCTCCCCCCACGATAGAAAATTGAGTCCCTAACATGGTTCTCTCCCATGTGTGGGGACAGAGGGTACCTGGGGGGGTGGGCCTGTGCTGTGCACGTGCTGTCCAACCCAAACAGCCATCTGTCCCTGCACAGGGATTTCCTGAGAGATAAATATCCCCAGGCTGACAAGAACCATATCTACTTTTGCCAGGTGTGGCAGGGACGGAAGACAGGCCCAGATGGGCTGGCTCTGCCTCAGTCAGCTCTTCGACACTTGTCCCTTGTGGGTACCTCTTGCTGAGAGCAGGGTCAGAGGGGCCCCAGGGGCAGAAACTGAAGCCCCAACCTCTTGTTGCTGTGGGGGTGTCTGTTTACTCTGCAAGAGGGAATCTGAACCCAGGCAGCTCCACAGGCTGCCCATTGCACTGGGGACCCTCAGGACCACACTGAACTCTTCTAAGCCTGGATTCCTTGGCCCATACTCATGAGTTAGGGCCGCAGCAGGCCTGGCTCAGTGGCCCTGGGGGCACATCAGACACCCCTGCAGCTCCAGGTAAAAGCACAGGGGCTGGCACAGCAGAAGCCTCTAGCCTGTGGCCTTCCTAGGCACCTGTTTTTCCTCCTTCAGGGCTGTCAGCACTGCCTCTGCCTGTGTGGCTCTGTGGTCCCAGGTCCAAATGGCATCACTTAAGTAACTGGCTTCAGGTGGCCAGGTAGGAGCTGGAACCAGAAGAGGGTTCTTGCCATATGTTGCCAACACAGCTTCCATCCCTTGAACACATAGCAGACCTTTTACCAGAGTCCACAGGCTCTCCTGTCTTCCTCCAAGTGTTAATGCAGAGGGGGAACTAAAGAACTCATGTCTCCTTGTAGAGGGCTTGGAGGACTCCCTCCCATGCCCCGCCTTGCCTGTGGCTCTAAGCTGCTCCAGCCCAACGTGAGGGAGTGAATGTGTGGGTGACCTGAGACCCTCCAAATGCAGCAGTCGGCTCTGGACAGAAAGTGGGCTGCCCTCTAACTAGTCTAAGCCACACTGGAGTTCTGGATGTGTCAAATAGATTAACCACAGGAGGCTGCTGCTCTCACCATCTGGTGATGGGATGGTCTCCTTCCCATCACCTTAGGCAGGAGAGAGCATACTGTTCATTTCTGATTTTTAAACACCCACTTCAGGGTGTAACCAGTGGTTTTCAGTGTGCTGCTGAAGTTGTGTGTCTGCCTCTGAGTGACTTTAGAACATTTTATTACCCCATACAACCCTGCACTCCTTGCTGTGGCTCCTGGTCTCCCTCCCCAGCCCCTGGCACCCCCATCCTACCTTCAGTCTTTGTGAATGTATGCAACTTTAGGGACCTCATATGAGTGGTGTCACTAAGGATCTGTGTGTGCCTCATCTTCCAAAGCACAGTGTCCTCAAGGTTCATCCGTGTGGTGGCAAAGGAGATAGTTTCTTTTCTTTTCACGACCGAATAATATTCCACTGTATGGACAGATCGTTTTGTTCATTCGTCACTGGACTTGTAGGTTATGTCTACTGTCTGATTCTTGTGATTGATGCTGCAGTGCACATCTTTATGTGGACATGTGCCTTTCATTCCTCTTGGGAGGACTGGGTACTCTTGGTCCCCGCTGGACAGTTGTGCTCAGCCCTAGGGCTGATAGCCACCCTGTGTGCAGGGTCCCTTCCCTGTCACCCTCTCCCATCTCAGTGCTTCTATCCACTTCCCCAGTTGCTACCTCATGGCCTCACTTCCTCCCCAAGCTCCACTCTCACTTCAAGTTACTGAGGCCGTCTCGCTTCCTGCAGAGGCTTGGGCTCACCCCAGTCGCTGTTCCTGTGGGTTCCTATCCCTTCTGCAACTGACTGTGAGTTCCTTCAGGGCAAGGAATTACTACTCCTTACTGTTAATGTGTCCCCCTCACCAGTCTTCAGGACTCTCCACGGTACATGCTGCCTTTTGTTCCCGTTTCCCCGGACCACTGCCCTGGCATGTTTCTACTTCCTGGGAGAATGGGTCCTCACTCAAAATTCCCACCTGCTCAGCCTGGCAGGAGTTGCATCCTGCCAGGACCACACTGGGGACCTGACACTGGGGTTGGCCACTGGCCCTGGAGGCAGACAGCAAGGAGCTGACTTCCCACGTGCATGGAGTGACCTGCTCAGTGTCTATGATAAGTACCCCCTACCCTGCCTAAGATTATCCCCAGCACCAATCTCCCCAAATCGCTTCATTATTTCTTTGTAAATAGGGCTTTTCCTAGTCAAAATAATCAGCTTTTTTTTTTTTTTTTTTTTTTTTTTTTTTTTGCGGCCACATCTGGCTTTGATTGGCCCCAGCCTCTGTGGATGTTGGAGCCTTGATGTTATGATCGTCGGGGGAAGGCTGGCCCCAGCCCCCTTCCCTCCCAATTCCAGGCCAGCCCCCCGCCCCATGCTGTCTTTGCACATCTGCCTTAGCTGGCCTGCTCTACAGGGCGGGTCCCTAGTTCTGTCTTTTCAGAATTGGGGCCCTGGGGGCTCACTCAGGACTAGCTCATCCCCTGCTCTGTCACGCCTGCATGACAGAGGTACCCAAGGCCAGAGGTGCCTCCACCTCTAGGGCTGAGCCGCCACCCACCTTTCCTCATTGAGACATAGACAGAAACACCCCAAAACTGCATCAGCCCTCTACAGTCATGGCTTTGGGTGAGGAGGGGCCCGTCTGCCTGTCTGGGGGGGGGTGTCCTTGGCCCCTGCAGCCACACTTACGCAAGCAAGGACCTGGGTCCTCAGAGCAGAGGCTGCTGTGGATCCTACTGCACCTCTCTGTGAAGCTTGAGGCTGGGAGGGTAGCTGGTTCCAATATAACTCCTCTTCTGGGTTCTCTATATTCCTTATGCTGGGACGGGGGCCTTTGCCCCAGGCTCCCCCAAGACCAACCCTGAGGTGAGACCCTGAGAAATAACTTGGTCCCGCCTGTCTCTGACTACAGTCCGGGTAGTGGAAAGCCTCCCTTTTCAAGTGGGGAGCCCATGACCCTGGTCTCCCACACCCTTGAGCCCTACCAGCCTTGCTTCTGATGCTGCGCCCTTCCTCCCCTGACCACAGGGAAGGAGCCAGGTCCCTTCATCCCTAGGGCCCTGATAAGCAGAGGGTCTGTGCTTGACCACTGTGGGTGTTGGTGCTGGCGCAGGCTGTGGAAGGAGGGGCACACACCTGCCATCACCAAGACAAGTTTTGTGGTGGGGTGGTGGAAGTAATCAGGCACCCAGAATCAGACCTGCAGGCATGTGTGAGATGAGGGATGGGTTGGGTGGTGAGCACCTCTTCCACATGCACACGTGAGCAGCTCTCTTGTGGGCATGCTTTGGTGCCCCAGGCCGTCTACCTTGTCATCCCTCTTCTGGCCCCTGGTCCTGCTTTGGCCCCATCAGGGCTGCTTTGTCTAGTTCAACTGACCAGTCACAAACAGTGTATAA